AGAGAGAGAGAGAGAGAGAGAGAGGAAGGATGAGAGAGACACCTAATCAATCTCTCACGCACATCACCCAATGATCGACATCTCAACCTGACGCCGCGCCCACGCGTGCGCACACACCTCCAGACAGTAGGAACAGGTTGCTGTAGCCTCGCTGCACGAGCGTGTGAGCTGCCTGACACGCCACGCTCTCATCCTCATCGTATACGATCACGATGCGACCCTCCTTGTTCTTCTGCGTCGGCGAGGCGTGGCTAAGGAATCTCAGTCGTGTTAATACCTACACCAGCTAAACCCCTGTAGTCCCCCCTATGCACTAACGTTCCCTACTACTTCTCTACACTTCCTATTAAGTCAGCGTCTACCTTAGGACTAGCAACCGTTCTATCGGCGATCTAAGATGAAAACTACATTTACAATTAAAGTATGATTTTTTTTGAGATGAGAGCAATTCATGGTTTGGCCGTATCCTTACACCCATATCACTATCTGCTCATAGAACTTTTTGAACTTTTTTTTACACTTTTTAAAACTTTTTTGAACTTTTAGAACTGAAAGGCACTTCGTTTATGAGCCACTCACTGCACATGAGCATCACGTACACGCCTCACACACCCCTCGTTACAACACAGCTTCATTAACTGCTGCTGCTGCTTACAGCAGGGACAGTAAAGCAGGACAGACAAGTAAGCAGACAGTAAGCAGGACAGTAGAGGATACATATGCTAGGTTGTCCTTCGACTCTCGATCTCTCGACAGCAGTGAAGACGGAAAGCTCTTCGCTGCAACACAACACAAGCAAATGCTGTTTAACGAGAATTCACGTGGAATGCAATGCGGTTCACCCGGGCATTTACGAAAATTAATAGCTTTCTGGGAGTTGACCGATTGAGAGAGGTGTCGTTGTAACAGTATGCGTGTGTGCAACATATTTGTAGGTCCCCACATCCGGATCTGTAGGTTGGTTAATCTTATATGTGCAACATCAGGAGTGAATAACAACAAGTTTATTATTAAGTACAATATTTTTATTTACTGCTGGAGACATTATATTCAGGTGCTGATATACACAAAGATCCAGAGGAGGTCACCTTCTACTTAAATGTCATTCATTTGCAGGTAACAACAGTACACTCACCTGTGTGATCAATGATTCACAGGTATTAACAGTACACTCACCTGCTCGATTGATTTCCAGGTGACAAGAGTGCAATCACCTGTGTGACTGATTAACACGTGAGAGCAACGCCTACCTGTGTCATCGATTAACAGGTAAGCGCAGACCTACATATGTCATTAATTAACAGGTAAGCGCAGACCTACATGTGTCATTAATTAACAGGTAAGTTCAGACCTACCTGTGTGCTTGATTAACAGGTAAGACAGGGCTACCTGTGTGCTTTATTAACAGGTAAGACAGACCTACATGTGTCATTAATTAACAAGTAAGACAGAGCTACCTGTGTGCTTTATTAACAGGTAAGAACAAGCTCACCTGTGATGATGTGCGACTGCTCGTATGTGTCAGCGGATCGCACGTCGAGCAGCAGGTATGGTGACGTCACGTCGGGCCTGTAATTCAGCTGAAGTCTCGCCTCCTCCCTCAAAGCTTCCTTCGTCTCGACGACACGCCCGCTGCTGTCAAGGTCAAGCTGTCCGAAGCCGTGAATGACGCTGAACAAACAAGAGAACGCGTAACGACCCGCCATCGGTTCCAGAGTATCCCGACAGGATCAATCGGGTTTTCACGGTGATGTCAACAGATTCGAGCCGCGCTCGGAAGTAATGGATTAGTCATTACAGTTATTGTGGCTGCATGTAATCATATGCTCATTTATTATATTATATATTACATACATATTACACATGATTACATTTAACAAGATATGCTACAATATGCCTATTACTAGATATGTCTTTAATGAATCGCTTTATTCATATAATATAATTTGATTGCTATAATATTGTTTTTGTTTATATTTTCACAGTTCTTTCTGGCAGTACTTCACAAATTAATTGCCAATGCCACCAATTAGGCAATTAATTAATTACTTACATATGTCATGAAAGATTTGATCACCTGTTTAGGCCTGCATACGGACGCATGTTGATTGCTGGAGGTCTCGGACTCGCCGCCTCGCCAATGCCATCTAGTGTTCCGTTTAGACTGAACGGAGATGGAATCGCCTCTTCTGGGAGATCGGTTAGATGTGTCTGGCCGTTCTTGGTCGTCTGCGTCCTGTTCAGATTCCCAACATCCCCATCGGCCTTTCCGATCTCGCCGGCGCCATTCTCCTTGGTTCCTGGGCGACAAATAACAAATGCTGCGTGATTAGGTAGATTTGTTATTTAGGTAGGTTACTCTAATTAGTGATTGGATCAGTGATTAGGTTTAACGATCGTTCAAAATCTAATACTTCACGGAGCTATTCAGTCCCAAGTTCCCGGCGGGACAAAACACGCTAGGAAATACGCACACAATTACCGCGCGGACTAATTACGCATTTATAATTAACTCCGACTCTAACAAACGCATCATGCACCTAGAAACCACACTCTAACGTACGCAGCATACCGCACCGTAACACATACTAAAGCCTATATATATGTGTGTGTGTGTATAGGTACACACATATATACATGCAGGGTGCGAAATTAACGCGAGTCCGGAGTCAAATACTCCCTGATTTACTGTCAGACTCCCTGATTTGACATATGCAGGAGTCCGTGTGACTCCCTGAAAATTCTGCTATACTAACTAGTTCGTTCCAGAGCACGGCCTCGCGGAATGTTTCAGTAAATGCCGAAAGAAAATTTGGCAGACCTGCAACCTCATGAATCTTCATATGCGTTATTGTTTTCTTTAGTTTTGAACTTCAGACTGCGCACTCCCTCATTTTGCTGCAGACTCCCTCTTTTTGAGGGGCAGGGATTCCGTTGGACTCCCTTGTTCACAAGTTAATTTCTACCCCTGTACATATGAACACAGCATGACAAGCCTGC